TACACTTTTTTCTTTTTGTCATTCACTCCTGATGATGACCCTTGAATAAAGGTCGAAAGCTCGAGTAGTGTTTTAAGTGATAACTTGAACATGCATTTTGTCGCAGTGCTATATTTCTTACTTAAATCTATGTGATGAGATTTATTATATATATACATATACGAATGTTAACTCTCAATGTTATCTAAATATTTTATTTAATACAACCATGCAAAGTTCAACAGTGAAAAGCTACAGAAAAATCGATGATTTGGAGCGAGAAATAATAATTGGTTTGACGCAAAAATTTGGAAACTCAGCAACAGCAATGACCAATTATATTCGGGCGTCGGGTACTACATACGGTGAACTCAGTAGTTATTATCAATCATTAAAGTTTCCTTCAGCTCGAAAACGAATTTATGATATCCTAACGAATGCTGCTAAAAGGTATATTCTCTTAAAAGAAACTTCTGCAAGTAGCATGACCATTCCACTGAAACTTGTTGTGCCCACGGTTTTGGGTTAAGAAATCTCACAAGATGTTGGAAAAAACACCAAGAAGTTGAGATCTCGCTTAAAAGATGAACTTCTTGGTACTTTTAGTGTTGCCACTCAACGGGTGCTTGACCCTCTTCGTTTACAACCACAGGAGACCGATAAATTTGATTATGTGACCACAAACGATGGGATTGAAGAAACTGATGTTGATCGAGTTACCTTTATTCAACAAATGCTTGCTGGTTTTACAGCAGTAAGTACTCATCGGCTTCAAATAACAGCACTCTACACTGCGCAGACACAGTGGAAAAAACTTTTATTTTTCACTGTTGAAAACTTTTGAGAATTTTTTTTTCGTATAGTACGTCTGAGACGAAAACTTTTTACCGTCACCAAAAACTGAAACTGTTGTCCGTCTTTCATACTACGTTAGCTGAAGCTTTACTGTCGATCTCAAATAAGCTAAAAGACAATTTATCAATCCTTAGTGATTCAGATTTTCTTAGTGTTATTATAGATTCAATTATTTGTAATCTACTTTTGAACTACTTTTTTGAAAAATAGATCTCAAAACAAAATGAGCCATTTGTAGAAGCCATTTCGTAGAGAATTTAATTCTCTATTCAATGGTATGCTTTTAAATTTTTTTGAATACAATGTCTAAGTCAGAAAACTGAAATTAAAAATTTTAAAAACTGTAAATTAAAATTTTTATATGGAAGCTTAATTTTTTTCTTCAAAAAAAAGTCAGATTCATGATTAGCATGAAAAGCTGCGTCTAGTGATGTGCCCCAATCGATTTTCCGATGAAAAAAATTCAAAAAATACTTGATCAGCGAAGTTTCGCGTTACGTGAACATAGCCGGATGTCGAATCAGAAGATACATTTTTTCAAATTCCTTCTACTTTTAGCAACAACAAACACAATCATCGATCTCAGTTGAACCGTTCAACCATAGTCAACAAAATTCCCCGATGGCTCAACCTACTTCATCACCGATCATTTCAACTGCAACTGTTAACACAAACGATACATTACCTCAACAAAGTTCGCCAGCTGACAGTCCACTTGTATCTGGTTCAAATTTAATTGATTCATCAGAAAATTCTATGATTGTTTTTTGTGATCAAGACAGTTCTCGTGCACCAACCGTCGGAGAAAACAAACTTACTCCACCAGTACTGGTTGATCCTCTACAATCGGTTGCTTCACTACCGGCTGTACAGTCGGGACCAAATTCGTCTTCATCCGCTGCCTCATCATTACCGTCGCGATCTACTGATCTTCTGCACAAATTACCACCTCAGTTACAAAATGTGAACTCATTATGGACGTTATTTACATCTTTTGTATCAAATATCGCTGACAATCCAAGTTCGTTACAAGCAGTCTTGCCATCAGATGTCATCGACAGCTTAGTACCCTCAAGCTCAACTGTTCAACCATCCAAACATTTATTTTGTTATCCTCCTAAGCATCACACACTACACTCTACATTTAGTTTAAGCAATGAAGAATTAGAGCCTATTTATGATGTTCCTGCTTCAAAACGCTTTTGTGCTCATCCACACCAAACAACAACCACGCCTCCTTCTAATCAAAGAAAACCTCCACTCCAACTCGCTTCAGCTTCAAAGTTATCGACAAAGAAAAAAATTTCAGTGAAAGGCCCGGTCCATTTTTCAACAAACAATGTTCTTGAAGACGATGATGATGAGCGAACATCATCACAAGTATCAATCACAACACCAAATCAACGAAAACGTCCACTTAGTACGTACGACGTGAGTGAGAGAGGTGACGATTGTACTGAAGAAGACAGTATTTTGATTAAAAAACGAGTGCCACTTGTGACACGAACAACAAATACAATAACAAATATTGACAAACTGGTTGCCAAATTAGACAAATGTGCTGATCGTTTTCTTGACGAAAACATTTGAACTGTTTTATTTCAATGAAGAAAGACATTTGTTTGTTTCAAATAAACAACCACAAATTGTGCAATATTTCATTTTGAAAAAAAACATCTCTGCCACTTGAGGTTTTCAATGAAAAGTTTCAATTCAGTCAGAAAATTTCTTTTAAGAAAAGCGCCAAAATTTGCATCACTCAAACCGATAGGACACTAAATAGGGCAAAACGTTTTTGTTTTGTTTTGAAACAGTACGACATAAAAATATGATGTTCTTTCTGTAATGACTAAGTCGAAGTTAGATTCGACAGAAAGAAAGAAAGATGTGGATATGCTTAGATATCTCAAACGCTGCAGTTTACGAAACACAAAATCTATGTTGTAGATGTCTTGGCCGTCCTTTAAGAATGATCTTTCATCATAGTAGCAATACAATGCGGACCGTTCGCTTCCTGACGGCGTTATACTATTTCAAATTCTTTTAAATATTGGGTCAGAAAAGAAATTCGGTAGTTCGCCTTCTTTCTTCTATAAGATTTTCGATAGCTCAAATGAAGATATCAATCGTTCAAGCCTTTGTGTGCTAGTCTCTATTCTGCAGTGCAGCATCGTATCTTTGCTAAAATAGATTAAAGTGACTGTAGTGATAAACGGATACGGTGGAACCTAGATCTAAATGACTTCAACTTGTGTTTTCATCAAATTTCCTGTCGGAGAAAAGTCACTGTTTCAACCTGATTGGTGAAATCGAAGTCTCAGATCCATCTAAATAGTAATAGAATCAAGCAGAGTCACATGTATAACTTGACTTTCCAACCTTTTCGGCGCATTGTTTAAAAAAGCGTTGCAAGAATAAAGCGGTGAATGAATACAATGCTGAACGGATTTTTTCACGTTCTGCACACAGTGAAAGAGAAAGAGAACAGAAGGATCCTTATTTGTTATGTCTATTTTTTCTTCTTTTTCCATCCCAAATGTGTGGCAATGTCCACACATAATATATGTTGTGTGAAGCAAGATATCTGCTTATTTGCTAGATTCCTACTGTATTCTATTCTGTTACTTTCCTTTTTTTGACGTGCGTTTCTCTTTTTCTCTCGAATTTATGCTTAATATCATCAAACAAGTGAAAAGAAGAAGATTGTCGATAAAATTCGTATAGTACATACAGATGTAAATATGTGATTTTTTTGAAAGAATAAGTATGTTGATGGCCCGAAATAACATGAAACGAAAGAAACCGACGAATCGCGTATTTTTCTTTTCTGTACGTCTACACCGATTATATGTTCAGTTTTTGTTCACGAGTGAAATGGAATGTACATTATTTCGTAATTTCGTACAGAAAACGAAAGAAAATTACATATTTCTTTTGCTATAGTCCTCAGAAAATGTTTGTTTTCTTCTCTCATTTCTGACCTAGCTCTTTCGACCCATCACTACACAAAAAAGCAGTTCAATAAAAGGTACATCTATATGTAAAATTTCTACCTTTTAGAAATAAGCCAACATTTATGAAAAATTAAAATCTGTTCGATGCTGAGTTTGTCAAAAAGCGAAATGAGTGAATTTCGACTTGCCGAGGTAAGATCGACGTGTATATGAATGAGCGCAAAAAAATGACGAAATTAGTCACCTAGAACTGCTTTAACTGTTAGCTCACGACGACAAACAGTAGTTAAAAACGTGTTTTAGGCATTGGATGAAATGTTGCGATGTGTTGTATGTTTTGGGAAACTGCACGATGCAAGAATGTGTGTTCAGTGTAGTCAATTATATTGCTCTTCCTGCATACAAGTAAGTAGAGTATTGCCTTGTTAAAAGAGATCGGCATAGACGTTCCCTTTTGGTGTCCATGTCGGATAAAATACACGAACAATCTGTCACTGTCGTTCATACCCATACTTTGCTGCTAACGTGAGTTCGAAGTTACTTCAAGAAACATTAAATAGTTCCCTTCAACTGTCTCCCTACGAAGAAAATGGTTGTGCTAGTTGGGTATTGTGTTAGAAAGCGATGGAGATCTTTACTGTCCACTGATCGATAGCCAGAAGCTTACTGTGTCTTTCACAAATCTTTCTACGCTTTTATCCACCTTGAGATCCGGTAAATTCAAAGTCAGTTAAAACTTACGAGGGAACTGCCCCAAGTGTCCGCTCGCTTTTCTCTTGAAACCTAGTGGAGAATAGATTATCGACTATGCTGATTCCGAATATGACAATGGTTTTTGCTGCTAGGCCTTCGGAGACCTGGTTTTCTAGAAAACCAGTTTTTCAGAAACCCCAAAAAATAACCCGAACCTTTCTTAATGAGACATGATTGTAGCCCGCACATTTCTGATTAA